ATATGTGTGTTAAAAAATTAATAACTTAAAAAGTAAAATTTCATCACTTATATAAAAACACATAATGTACCATCTGTATTCCCGTCACAATTAAAAACTTCTCCTTCCGGAGACCGGAGAGACTCACAAAAACATTTCAGCCTCTCTTTGATCATAAGTTTGACTTTCACACTAGCAGATTCAAACCCAAAATCCGGAGCTTCTCTAGTGCACATGTTTTATATACACAATTATTTCTTAACCTTTAAGATCAATCTGAACGGTCGACGTTAACAACTGGATCTTTACGACCCAACCAATCTCCCTTATCCAAGGCTTCCTTTTCTCCAAGCAAAACGGATCAGCCACCATATTGTTTCTTTAATTAATAATAAAAACAAGATAACTATTTGCACACTCTTTGATAAAAGGCGTTGATGGATTTAAATCGGGAATTAATTTGTAAAAGGGAAACCTGTTTGACTTTAGTTTTCCAATTCCGAGCCATTTCCGCGCCAATTTCTTTGATTTTTTTTTCTATGATCGTCATTGTTATAAGGTTTATTTGGTTGAAGAGATATCGTTTGATTCAATCGCGATGTGTCGGAAACCGAAAGGGTAGTTGGCGATGGCAGACGCCAGAGGGGAAGGGAGGAGGGACAGACGCCAGAGGGAAGATAGAGAACTATGGCCATCTCCGATCGAAGAAGGGCCAAATGGCTTCCTTTAATCCTATAGTTTTACAAGAAATTATATTTTAATAAACAGTGATATGTTATATTTTATATCATCTCCAACCGAGGCTAAATGATCATAGGCCAAACATTGCCCTTTGATAAAAAATCATCTCCAACTGAGGGGGCTAAAGGGTCATTGGTCAAACATAATTTATTATTCTAATTAAATAAATATGATTAATTAAATTAAACTACCATATTAAAATAAAGTTTTCGAACATATTTTGGGTGCCACTTGTTGCCAAATGAATGGCCTCCGGATTTCTTATCTTTACATAATCTTAATAATTTTTTGGATAGGATTTCGAGTAACACATGTCGCTAACGTGAGTAACTATCCATATTTCTTATCTTTATGTAATCTCAATAATTTTTCAGATAAGATTTCGAGCGACACGTGTCGCTGAAGTGAGTAACTCTCCAAATTTCTTATCTTTATGTAATCTTAATAATTTTTTGGATAGGATGTCGAGTGCCACGTTTCAAGATGTAATTGGTTGTGCAAATTTTAGATAGAATTTTTATCTACGTGGTACTTTTTAGCTTTAGTTTTCAATGTTGTAGGTATTTATAGGAAAAAAAATTAAATTGTTTTTTTTTAATTTGTCCAAAAAAAAAGTTTCAAATTTCAACGGTAACCTAACAGCAGCATGACGTTAGCTAGCCGTTGCTAACTGGCGTCATGCTAACGCCAAATAGCCATTGACATTCAAATGGGTTGAGCTGGAGGGTTGGCAAAATGTCAAGCTTAACATTGTGGAGTTTGAGGGTTGGAAAAATGTCAAGCTTGACATTCTAGCACTGGAGGGCTGGTTAGAAATGGCTAGCCCACTGGCCTGGTTTGGGGGTTTGGGCCTGATGGGCCCCACAAGCCCTTTAGCCTAACCCTCAATTGAAAACGGTTTTTGTGTCACTCCGAACTATTTTTAACCCTATAGCCCTTTGACCAGGTCGATTAGAGATGACCGAACGAGTTTTGTTAACCCGGTTGCGACTTAAGTTTAAGTGTCAATCTCATTCGTCCATATTAATCTAACGGTCTTTATTTACATGTGTAAGTAGTATGTGCACTTAAGCATGTGCATTAGAGAAAACTTGTAAAATATTACGCACCCAGAAGATTATTACCAAACTAACGGCCCAACATCTAGTGACAAAAAATAAGCAGCCAAAAAGATGGATAAATAAAATATGAGGACATCGGAACAACTATGCTTTATTTTTTATTTTTTTTAACAAACGATATTATTTATCTTGAAGGGATATGAAGTGGATTAGATCTCACAATGAATTAATAATAATGTGGTTCAAATTCGACGTTGACGAGAATCGGACTCAAGATTTTTTACTTACTAGTAAAGAGGAGTATCACTAGACTGTAGTACTAAACGACAATAATACTTTACTTTTAGATGTTTAGTCAACAATACTTTACTTCTATTAAGTCACGGATTTCCACTTGATCTCGTGTGATTTCTCCGGATCCTTCTTCCTATAGAAAACAGAATAACATTTCCATCAAAGCACAGTGAGACTTGACAAATTAGGTAAATTATAGTTAATGAACCTCCACATGTGAAGTATCCAGACCCGGCCCCCTTCTTAAGCACTCTCAAAGCTGCTAGATAATGTCCTAATTTGGTGAAACCACTGCCTGGCCCATCCCCTACCCAACAGAAAATTACGTGACTAATGACTAATTAACTAATTAACATAGATGATTAGTACCGCTTTTCTCATAGATTATCATGCCACATTATTGTCTCCTCGGATTAGTTTAAAGAGTAATTGTGATTAGGACCATGTGGATATCTCAACAACTTGTGTAAACAAGCTCTGCTGCACAGGCCCCAACCATGTGATTATTGGATGGGGGAAACAAGAACACATGAAGTATGAGACATCGAAAAGATCAAATTCAGTTTGTGCCTATTGGATGGGGGAAACAACAACTTGTGTAAACATGCTCTGCTGCACGTTGCGAAAATTATCGTGTGATACTAAAAGACAATCATGCAGTATATTTAATTCACACTTTATAATATAGATGAACAACGAGTCCAAAACTATTTGATATAACGAGTTCATGTTTTAGAGTTAATGGCCGATTAATATGTTTTAATAACAATGAAATAATTATACTATGTGACGGTGATTCAACACGATAGTAGAGTTATTGTGAAGTATGTGCTCATAAACAGTTTCAAAGTATTTTGGCATTGCTGGGAGAGCAGGCCATACACCAAACCTTTCACTTCAGAGACTTTTCTCACTCCCTACTCCCTTGAAACAAAGCAATTTGCGTTTTGGATTTTTGCATGCTTTGCACTTGATCCAAGACACCTTAAAGGCCAAAACAAATGATAATTCCCATTAATTAGAGAGAAATTTGAAATAAACAATTAAATATAAATTTTGTTGTTGGGTTATGAAAAGATTGAGCACCAAATATGATTGTCTCTTCCCCAAAAAACTATTCCTTCGTGAGATTCTATACACCACCGTGATTGGATACACCATCATTTGTTTGACTGCTTTTTCTTGTGATCAAGATCTCTCCTTTGACTCTTCCAGTCCTCTCTCTCTCTCTCCTTCTCTTTCTCTCTCCTGGTGTGAAATTCCAGGGAATGCCTCTGTTCTGTTCTCCAAATTGCAGGTTTGATCATTGTGGTCACCCAAATTCCGTACGTTGCATGTTTTTACCAAAACCCTAATGAGTTGATTTTATTGATGGAAAGAGCAGAAGAATTACTGCATAAATTATCCATAGTTTTCTACTTTTTACCTGGAAAAATGCTCTGGAATGTGCAAAAAAATGGTGGAAAAGTAAGAGCCAAAACCCATCCATTTCAATACTAATCAGGTTGTCAGATCAATCTTCAGTAAAAGAAGTGCTTGTTGTCTAAATGGGGACTTTCCTAGAAAACTAATGATTCGGTCTCGTTTCAACTGGTAATTTTGCAACATATGCTCTATACGACAAGAAAAATTTACTTGTAATGAATTAACGTCGACACTATAGTTATAATATTTCAAAACAATCATGTTGTCATGCGTTTTAACGTTCTTACATGTTAGTGAATTAAAATATCCTAACAGTTGCATTCTCGTTGCACGGGGAATTTGATGAAATGGGGAAAGTAGTTTTAGATCAGGTGGAAATTGATCATGGTCCCCAGGAGAGTTCTCAAGTTTCAAACAATTGATGATGGTGAACTCACTAACTTTGGTCATAATTTAAGCACTTTGGTAAAAACAAAATAATTAGAGTAAACAACTTTAGTTTTTGATGGTTGTGGGGAGCAAAATCAATTCCCAAACAGGTGAACAATCATGAAGTTTTCACTGATAGAGATGGGACAACACACATGCATTTGATTGCATAAATTAAACAAAAAAGTTGGGATTGCCATTTTGGTTGAATCCAGTAGGTATAATTAAGATGAACATATTTTATAAGCACTCTAATTAGTTGGATTAAGAACTGCCAAAAAAAAAAAAAAAAAAAAAACCTTGTTTACTTTTTTTGTTTATCCAAACAAGGTTTTGTTTTTATTTTATAATAATATTTTACACATCCCGGTTTAAGGGAACAATTTACTTACATTCGTAAGATGTTATTGTGTCTTCTCGAACAATATCCCAATGTGCAGGGAAGTCTCTCTTCTTGTGAGGGGCTCGTTATATGTATACATATACTCCAAATTGTTAGTGGATTCAAATAGCAAGGTATGAGAAAGTGTGTCCATTTTTTTCTGAATAAATCGGCAAATTCCCAACAAAAAGCCTGCTCATAAGTTGGTTTTGCTAGGGTTCATAAGTCAAAACAACTTTAATTATTTTGCTTCTTAAATTTGAAGATAAAAAGCCAGAAAACCATGCGTTGTCTGGAAGGCCCTAATTTAAAACAATTACTTTTCACCTGATCAGTGTGATAACTTTTCTGATGAGATTACAGTACCGTGCGCGCACTAGCCATGGCACTGAGCAATTATATTATTTGTTTTCTTGGAAAGATAAAAGGTGCACAAGAAAACAGACAGTGCTCTCGTTTTCTCCCTTCGTCCGGACATGGAAACTGATATTTGTATGTACAGCACTACAGGGCAAACTAATTCGTTGAATTTACTGCATTCACTTTTATACGATCTTCGAATTTTCCATGTACTTCCAAATAAAATAAATAAAATGAGTGGCTAACAACATCGGTTCTGCAACTTTCAGAAGAAATCCAAATCACTTGCGCTTACTGCGGAGACGATGAACTGGAAACAATTAAAACCATGGATAATTAAGCATAGAATTAATAATAACAATAATGTACAAATAGCATCATCAAATGGGTTGCTTAGAAGGTAGTCCTAATGGGGTTCTAAATCTAATGATGCAGCCGAGGACTTCCATTTCTAGCAAGTTTGAGAAAATTGGGTTAAATCTGCTGCATGAGTTTGCATCGGCAGAGAAATAAATATAAGGCCTTCCGGTCCGAGTTTTTGGAATGGTTCTAATCAGTAACGTTCATGAATGGATTAACGAGATTTTCACTGTTCTTGTCTACTATCCAGCGAAACCACAGCCAGTGAAGCGGGCGGGCAAGTAAAGAAGTACACTTTAGGTAGGTTGTGGTGGCACAACAGAGCATAACTCAATGGACCCGTAATGCAGTAACTCTTCAATCATCTGCTCAATGTGATCATCTTCAAGTGGCTTGAACTGCTGGCTGCTGCTCTCTACTTTAACTTCCCTCACAACCCAATTCTCCTCTCCTCCTTGCTGAATTTCAGGTCTGATCATCTCTGGCATTTTCGCGCCTGATGACACTAAAGTTTTCGGTTTTTTTGGCTCTTGTAGTGAAGTTTTGGTCATTTGGAGTGAAGCCATGTAGCATCTGTGCAGTTTTGCTGTCAAAGTTGCCGAGAGAAGTTTGGAGGCCGAGGACTGAGACGCATTTGGGTTATAAGGGAAGTTTGTTCTTGCTCTTGGCCCGCACATTAGCCTCGCCGCTTCGTCGTAAGCTCTCGCCGCGTCTTCCGCCGTTTCGAATGTTCCCAGCCAAATTCTAGTCTTCCTGCACAAGAAAAAGAAACGCTTCGCTTAGTTTCCAAGTCACAACCAGAAACGCGAACGTAAAAAACTGTCATGTTTTAAAGCGTGGACTTACAATAAAGGGTGGCGGATCTCGGAGACCCAAGAGCCCCAATGCCTTTGTCGGACGCCTCGATATCGCTGTTGCGGTCTCGCCATTGCTGTGCAAAAGAAACGTTTCTTTTAGAAAGTGTTTGTGAAAATGCCTCAGAGAAGAAATGCCAAGTGAAAGGAAAGTTTGAGGGGAGAGAGGGGATTTTGCAGTTGGGTTTGTCTGACAGATATAAGGACAATTTGGAGGCTCCCTCCCTCTCACTTTTGTTTTTCTCTAAGGACTTGGGTCCCACAAGAACTTGGACTCTAGGGTTCTTTTTCTCTGTGTCTTATTATTTACCAGTTGGCTTCAAACTGATGTGATTTTTTTTAACAAAAATCCGAGGGGAAAGTTTCAAACTGAACCAAATTCAATTCACATGGCTGTAGTATTGTAAATTGGATTAGATTAGAATTCTGTTGCTTTTCATGGACCTTCTATTCCTCAAGAAAATCTAATGTCAAAGTCCCCCGCAGATTCTTCATGTGAGTTTGGTCTAAGCAGGAAACAAAAAGACAAAATAAATCATATAAATCATATGAATTTTTACATGTATGCAAATAATTACAGAGTATAATAAGAATGGCAACTCCTTTTTTTTATGGTTATGAACTTTATAATATTCATTATTGTATTAATAATTTTTTTAAGGAATCTTGGAGTTTCAGTTTGATGTATGTTTTGATAATATCAAGTTGCACAAACTTGCAACTGATTGCTTATAGGCAATGATCAAAACTGATAGGTTTGCATGCTCTGTTTTTTGGAGGGTAGACAGTAAAAATATTGGTACCACAATATGATTGGGTCAAGCCATAATATGAGTGAGACACATTGATTAAAGATTCATGAACCAACATAATTACATGTAGCTGAATATGAGCGTTTAATTCAAAAGAAAACTAATGAAAAGGATTTGAAAACTTTGAGTTTTAACTATAAAGACAAAATAAATAGTAAAGTGAATAGTACCAAGTTTGACTTTTTAGTGTAAAAATGTGGTTTTTCGTTAAAGTGAACAGTACTGTGGATTTTCGTTAAAACTCTCTTAATTCAACACGCGTGACGGAAAATCACTGATTGGTAAACCTAACACGTAAATAACTTGCTGTGAAAGGTGTTAAGGTGTGAATATATAACTCAAAACTAACGACAACGAACATGTAACAATCTCAAATTTCAAGTAAACAAATCTTCGGCCTTATTTTAAGGATCAATTTGCAGCTAGAGAAGAAACCAACTTGATATTTGTCATATTGATTGAACTGTTCTGCATCTTCAATTTTGAAGTAAACAAAAATTGGAGACATTGGAAAACGGGAGCAGACAAAAACCAATGTGTTGGTGTGTTTCGGATTGCCAATTTGCCATGCCCCAATTTGTAAAACCGGGATTCTCCATACTCAGATGCAGTGCATAAGCTGCTGTAACTGCTTTTTTTTTAAAGATTTTCTTGCAGGATTTCCGCAAAAATATCAGAGGATTTTTTTGTGTAAGAAATTAATTTAACTTGGATTTTTTGACGAGTATTATTTTTCCATGAGTATCTATCTCTCTTTTTCAAGTTGCTGCAGCTATTCATGACTTTTGTGTTTCCTTTTTTGGAGGCATCAAGAGTGGGCGTGCCCATTGGAAACCACCTTGCAGTTTGCAGATTAAAATTAGTTTTGGTGTCAAGACCTCTTGCATTTCGACATGTGGACAGTGTAAACCCTATAAACAAAAAGGTAAGCGGTAAAGGTAAACGGTAATGCTAGACATATCATATTTTGATCGTACTGTCTAAAGTTACCGTTAGACATTTAAGTGTTGTTGATTAGTCTTTGTCTCATGGTAAAACCTACTTTTGTAGTATGTATAATTAGCTTTATCCACAATAACATTGAGGATTAACCAAAAGGTGTCAATCTTGACTGATTTTGCATTATACGTTCAACAAACATAATTGACCAGAATTAGATTCGAATAACATTTTCGTCACATAAACTATGACCACACGCACAAAGAATTAGACTTGACGCCCTTGTTTGATTTCACTCGCACATATATATAGGCTTTTGAATTTTTTTTTTTTTTTTTTTTTTTTACCATTGTACCATAATGAATTTCCTTGATCGGATTCAAAAAAGAAGTAAGAAGAGGCGGACCCAATTAAATAGTAATGCTAGATCACATGTTGCTCGTACCACCTAGTGTCACCGTTAGACATTTCAGTGTTGTTGATCGGTGTTAGTCTCATGATGAGACCCACTTTAGCAGCATATATAATTTAGCTTTATCCACAATATTATTGTGGATTAACCAAAAGAAGCGAATCTTGATTGATTTTGTATTGACCAAAATTAGACTTCACGTGCTTACACGACCGATGTCAGTAATATTTTTGTCGCATTAATCGTAATCATGTGCACAAAAAACACACAAAAGCAAAAAGGTCGTGCGATTGGTTTGAATTCACTTGCACATATATAGGCTTTTGAATTTTTTTTACCATCGTACCGTAACGAATTTCCTTGATCGGATTCAAAAAAGAAGAAAGAAGATGAGACATTTTGTGAAAAGAGGAAAGAAAAACGGGGAAGAGGTGATAAGGGCAAAGACAAAAAGAACAAACAGCATGTTAGCGTTAATCTTTGTCACTAATCATCCTGGTTTACAGCTAAACCTTGGGTTGGAGAAATATTTTAATTACGCGGGAAAGAGGCGGGACCCAGATGGAAGCGCGTGGTGTGGGACCGGAGATGGTATAACACGAACGTGGGTGATGAGAGCAGAAGTTGAAGCAAAGAAGCAAAAGCTTGAGACGGTTTTTCTGGGCCATGACGCGGTCCAGTCCAGAAATGTCAATTTGTCAATTTTGGACTAACCCTCTCCCGAGTCACATGCAAACACATAAATCTATTTGATCCATTGAACGTTATTATAATCAAGTTTAAAGGACATAGATTAATTTTTTATTTTGTTTGATGGCCATAGAAACATTGAATGTTGTTATCAAGGGATATCATAATCCTTGACAAAAAATAGGAATATCATAATCCTTTTAGACTAGGTTTTTGTTTGTTTTAGTGAAATGTTACGATTTGTAATTACATAATATATATTTATTTGGAGACAAACTTTTTGATACACGTATTTGTGTGATCTCGTTCGCAATGTATTTTAAAGATTCAACCGTTTATCTTTTATGTATTTCTTCAAATATCATCTCTATAAACAAATCATCCAAATCCGAAGTCATTTCACCATTGTATTAAATTTAGTATTTATTTGTATAACTGTTTTTGAAAATTTTCTTCATTTCAAATAAATGTCTTAATAGTTTTAAATTTATGTAATTTTTTGCAAGGATGAACTAAGATGTCTTTGAAATAAATTACGGAATGAGAGCCATAAAAATACGTGTCAAAAATGTGTTTCCACGAATGAGATGGAACTTTGATCAGTTATCACCCTACTAAATATGATTACAAATTTTCAAGTACACTTTGTAGTATTGGAGACACGTATGTGTTAGCAAACGCAAATAAAATTTTGAAAAAGAGAGTACAATATATACCGAGAAATTAAATAACACAAGTGAAATCATAAACAAAAATAATTGAAAACATCAATTTTAGTAGATAAACATGTGATTAATTAATTCATGTATCAAACCCGAAACATCCAATGCGTCATGTGATTTGCTATGTTGGTAACCAGCTTTGCATGCTCACATGCGCTACTGGTTTTTGTGATTGTGATAGGTACCGTATAAATGTACGCGTCGTCCAGCGAAATGTTTGCCCCCGCATCCCATGGGATTTTTGCACCACTACCATCTACTCTCGCTTCATTTCAAACTTTGGACAACACAATCCCGTCACATCATTAGCATAATACAAAATTCCAATCAAAATGACATATGTGCCCATAAAAACTGAACTTTCTAACCCCAAAACACCCACCACGTTGTTGATATGGTACAAGGGGATTATAATTACGGGAAATTCATACCCGAGATCTTAGGAGAGGAGATTTAAACATGATTTCGAATTTTAAGTTGAATACTTGTAATTGTGCGAGCTGTAAATTACTGTACGAAGTTACATATAATTTAGACGTAATATGTATTACCATTATCGGGGCAATTAAAAAGCCACAATAATTAGTCAAAGATCAAGCACATATTGGTGTAGTTCTGTGTGAGTTGCGTAGAAGGAGAATGGAGGCTCATCTACCATGCATGCATCATGCATGTGGTTCAATAGAAACTTAATATTCTGTTGATTGATCAAATACAACACGAAAGTGAACTATGTTGTGACTCTAACAGTTTGATACAATCATCAAACTAAAATTGGATAAGTCTGATAAATTATTCAATGCGATTATCACAAAGTATTATATATATATTTGGTGATAGAATACTTTAAATCTATGATATATTAATTTTGTTATAACTCTTGAATTAATAACATTACGTGTAAGTATAATCGTCACACTACAAAATTTTATGTGATTATAGACGAGTTGTCATACTCCATGTGTGAGTGCGACCGTTTCTTTGGGTTTGGTTGTTGTAGAGTTTGGGCTGGATGGTTATACGCCTCCATGTCAGAATCAAGCTGACTCCTGTTTGGGCTTATTTGCTTCGCAGCAGGGACTTAAAACTATTATTTAATTCTCCGTTATTTTATTCAATTTCGAAGGTTAAGTAAATGTTTTTTTTTTAGTACATCGATATTTTTACATTAAGAGAAGAATTTTAGCTAAGCCACACAATGAGCAGCCTAATTTGGTATCGAATTCGTCATCCACGAAATTCAAACATAAGATCTCTCACTTTCAAGTAAAGGTGAACACTACCAGACCTTAGTACTGAATGGTTAAATAGACAATTATTTCTCAAAGTTCGAATTTCTCACCAAAAAAAAAAAAAAAAAAAAGCACGCATTGCGAAAAAAATAAATTACAAAGTAAAATGACTAAGTGTGGCACACGACATTTTGTTAACTCGGACGAGTATTAAAAAAAAAAAAAAAAAAGAAAACTCATAAGAAGTTACGAACCTTACTGGGCATTGGGCTTGGAATATCTTGTAGATGAAGGAAAGTATTATGTAGAGCCCCATAGAAGCTGGGCCTTTGAACTGACATTCACCGACTTTAAATTGGTTATGTTTTGGGCCACAAATAATTGAATTCCATTTTTACCGTTTCCTTGTCTTAAAACTGAAAAGCGCTCGTCTTGTACAGTCTTGGCGCTGTTAGGGTTTCGCTGTTTTGCTCTCTGCTGTAAACTTCGCGGCGCATCTCCAAGCTCGCAAAAATGGTGACTCACTCTCTCGTCTCTCTCTTTCTGTATATTGAATTACTGGAAAATGATTGAGTTTCTGATGTGGGTTCTTTTGGTAAATACGCACAGCCGTCGCACAAGAGCTTCATGATCAAGAAGAAGCTGGCGAAGAAGATGAGGCAGAACAGGCCCATCCCTCACTGGATCCGTATGAGGACCGACAACACCATCAGGTCCATAAATACTTACTCTAATTATTTCGTAATTCTCATTTGTTTTTTCTTGATCGGTTCCCAGATGCTTACGGTTTGTCGATTTTGTTCGTGTTGTGGATCAGGTACAATGCAAAACGCAGGCACTGGCGCCGCACCAAGCTCGGATTCTGAGGTGCCTTGCTTCCAAATTCTCAATGGAAATTAAGCATATTTTGTAATTTTGATTTAGGGGTTTTAGTTTTTGATTCGGACATCAAAATGTTTTGTATTTTTTCACAAGTGCTTTTGGCTTCCCCTTTATATATCTGCTGGAGAATGTTGTTTTCCTTTTGCTTGGGTTCTATGAACTTGGTATAGACACCAAGTGTTTGATTGGTAATTAGGATTGGATAACTTTAATATTCAAGGTAGTCATGTTGAAGGGATGTGAATTCATTTTTCATTTGCAGGGGATTAGAAGGACATCATTCATGAAGTTAAACTTATTCCTTTTAATTCCCAGAATTTCGTTCGCCTCTTTCTAATTACCTTGTAATCTCCTCCAAATGAAAATCGTTCGCCTCTTTCTTCAACATACCTCTCTCCCAAAATGGAAATCGATCGTTGCCAATGTAATTACTTGATTGAAGTGGAAATGATTATGTAATTACTTAATTGGTGATTTTCAACATGTTTTAGCATAGTGTGTGAATTTCACTACTCGAGATTCTACTACATACAAAAATAACTGTGTGAATTTTACGTTATAATTCGTATTCAATATCTGAAACTATAAGTAGGGGAGGATTACAATTACAACTTATTTTGTGTGCCTTGGTTTTCTTTTATTTTCGTTGGGATAACAATATTGGAGGTAGGAAATTTACTCAATACTATGAGCTTCAAACTCGCGATTCATAATCCTATGTTAGGTGCCTCTCACATAACACCATTTAACGGAAATTTGAATGAAATATAACAACAGAGGGTACTTGGCAGTCTCTTACTACTTAAAGGGGTAAGTTAGTAGGAATAAATAGTTGACTGGGTAGCTATTTAGTACTACGGTTTAGTGATATTCCTCTGCACTTGTAAATGAGAGGTATTAGCTTCGATTGTTGCCAAAGACGAATTTGAACCACATCATTGTTAACCCATTGTGAAGTTTAGTCTACTTCCCCATCATTTTAGTATAGATAATTTCATTTATTAAAAATAAATAAATTGTTGAGCGGGTAAGTGACAGTTTTGTGATAATTAGGGGTTATTTGGCGCTCTACTCAAATATGTAAGTTAACGACCAAAAAATCTCATCTATGGCATCGATTATAAATGCCAGTGTGGCCATGGCACGGCGAAGAACTTCATCAACCCCTGGTTGCAGTGAGACCTGTTGGCTCCCTGACCACAAGCAAAGTAGTGTGGCCTCCACTGGTTCAGCACGAACTTAAACCCCTGACCGCCTCCCTGCGTGGCTTTTCACCAGCTTTTCCCTCCGGTAGTCACATGTTATGTAGCTCCACTGGTCCGCTAGTAAGTACACGTCATGAACGCCGGCATTGCTTGGCGGACTGTACTTGAAAACTGCACATCAATAAAATGTGAAATATAAGTAACCGGTTGATCGGCACCACACAGCCGGTTGACTTACCTGTAGCGTGTCCTTTATGTAAAAGGGGCCATTTTTGAGAGTCCAGTCAGTGTAGTTGAAGCCGAAACGCCAACCTTCGGAGCCTCCTACAATGACAGTTTTAGCCTGCCCAACCGCCAACAAAGAGACAGCGACGACAATCAAAGCGAGCCCTTGTGAAGAGAAACTGGAACCCATCTTCAAATTCTGGAACAAGGGATCAGAGAAACGTAATTAAGATGGAATTAGTGACTAATGAGGTTGAGGTGTTGAGGAGTATGAGCAGATTGGTGGGTTTATATACTACATTTTGGTCACATGTTATGAAGCAAATCGGCTGGAATTGCCTTCTTTTCTCACTAGGGTTGGGTATAAAGTGAAAAAAAAACGTGGAGATTTTGAGTCATTCTAAATTTACATTTTTGTTGATAAAAAAACGCAAGATTTCTCAAATATTTTATGCTGTCTTTTGATTTTTTTCCCATGCCAGTGTCATTATTCAACCATTTAGGATGGGAAAACTAGGAGGGGGAATGGTCAGCATAATGTTGACGAGTGGGTTTGTGGTTAGAATCTTGGCAAAACTCCACTTAAGAGGACAAAAAACATGTTTATGGGTATGATTAGGGAGGGATTATGGTCTCTAGAAACAACTAAACATGGGTTGGTGCGCAGGCGACCGCGGTTAACCTAAAGAATTCAACAAAATAGTAACTTACAAAATATTTGTAACTCAATTGGTTAAATACATTTCATTCTTTATCCAGCTTGAATAATTTCACGTTATTACTTTGCTCTTAAAGATAAAGTTGATGGCTCAATTATAAGAGCGGATATTTGGGCCCAAATTATTATCAGGCCCAATATCCATAACGAGATACTGAAGCGCCAAGAGCTCACAGGACAGGACAAAAATATGTAATTTTATTTTTCTCCTCTCCCTCGCTCTCTGTCTCTTTCTCTGCGCAACGGAATTGTGTGGTTGAGTCAAAGGCAAACGATTGAATCCTTGAAAGTAAAAAGGGGTAGGTAGTCATACTTCATTAGAAACTTTTACGGCGTTGTATTTCAATTTCTCTACTTTTGTGATCTCTGGGATTTTTCTTTCCACCATCAGCTAGGTTACCAAACATTTGATTTTTGGGTTTTGGGTTTAGGGTTTTACAGGATTTATGGTTTTATGAGAACCCATTACCCAGAATTTGGATTCTGATTTGGGCACAAATGCTCATTCTCTAGGGTTTGGAATCCAAGGGATGCAAAATTTGGAGGTTCTGTAATTCAAGAGATCAAAATTTAGAGGGGAAAATGGGTTCTACTCCAAAACAGCCTTTGTTTTGCCTAAAATGGCCATGGGACATGAACCCGAATCCGAAAACCAACACTCATAGCGTTTGCTCCTTTGAGGGTCCTTGGCTGTTCAAATCTGTGCAAACTATCGGGTCCCTTGCTTTCAATTTCGTCAGCTCAGTTTCAGGTTCTTCGACTCCGTTGATCAACAACTTAAAGCCCTTCCGAATGGATGCAAGAACCGGCCAAGGTAAGGACTTTGAAGTCGAAAACAGTCTTGAGTCCGGAAGAGCAGGGGGAGGCGGAGCATAGGGCGTTTGCCTCGGCATTGGCAAGTGCGAAAGAGGCTACGGTGGTTGAGTTTTATTCACCCAAATGCAGGCTGTGCAATTCTTTGCTTAATTTTGTTGTGGAGGTTGAGAGTAGGAACTCGGAGTGGCTTAACATTGTTATGGCAGATGCAGAGAACGAGAAATGGCTTCCCGAGGTACCCTTCATCCTCAACGTTTTCTCTATATATATACGTTTCAAGTGATTAGCTTGTTCGATTGCGTTATGTGCTGATCACGGTGTCAAATATTACGGTTTGAACAGTAGAATATTGTCTGATAATTTTTCTATCGCCGGAAATGCAGCTCCTCCATTACGACATCAGATATGTGCCTTGCTTTGTTATACTGGACAAGAAGGGGAGGGCGCTGGCGAAGACCGGGATTCCGAGCAGTCGACTGCACGTAATAGCAGGCCTCTCTCATCTTCTCAAGATGAAGCGTCCTCACAAAAGTAATAGCTGATCGAAATATTCAATCTCCACTCATCTATTCAATTTGATGTAACCATGTCTGTATAGGCAGATAGCAGATTATATTGCGCATGCTTTGATTGCTCATGGTTAAGCAGGCGATGATGTAATGCTTGTTTTTGGTGTAGAAACTTGTGTTTTTTGCCAGACTTTTATGATGATTTTTGTTGAAATTTCCAAAATTGATCGAAAACCGTTTTAAGTTTCCTATTTCACCATGCCAACGTCTTTTTATTTTTTATTTTTTATATTTTTATTTATTTTTTAATCTCCCTTTCTTCCTGTCTGTCCTAATTAACTAATTAAACCACCTTAGCGAACAAGGAAAAGTTTTAAGTTTCCTATTTCAAAAGGCGCACACACACACAATGCAAGACGCTACATTCCTCACAATTCTTCTCCGTAAACCGATCGATCTAAATACCAATTCTACTACTCTCCCTAGAGGCCATCACCCTCTCTTCTCAAAATCCGAATCCGATTCGCAGCCAATGAGTTCGTTCAGCAAAAACCGAGTCGCCGCCAAGGAAATTCTCCGTCAGGCAAGTGAGCTCCAGGATGCTAGTATGTTCGGACCTCCCAGGCAGAAAACCAGAGACTCCAGTGAGCAGTCCTCTGTCAAGTTGGCGCTTCGCTACGATGAACTAATCGAGAGTGCTAGAGATATTTACGAACAGATGGTACAACGCCATCCCGAAGAAGCCAGGAATTGGATTCGGTATGCTAACTTTGAGATGATGAATGGCGACATTGCGAGGGCGAGGAATGTGTTTGAGAGGGCAGTGAAGAAGGTACCCCTAGCCGATGATGAGGAGGAGGATGATGATGACGGGGCCGAGCAGTTGTTTGAAGCTTTTGCGGAATTCGAACAGTGGTGCAAGGACACCGAGCTGTGCAAGCTAGATGTCGAGGATGCAAGCCAGATTTCTAGTTCCTCGTAGCATATTAAATTTGTTTTAATATGTGATGTTTTACTCCAAAAAATTAAATAAACTAAAATCCTTAACTGCAATCAGTCTGTTCTGCCTAGAAAAGCCTTCCCCAGCCTGGAAGCAACATTTTCGGAGCTCGGGAGAGTCCTTAGGTTTCCAGCATCCGACATGTAAAAGTAATTGTAGTTGATCCTAGTAACCAAATCCGCTAAATGAGGAAAGTGCCCGACGTTGAGCTTGAACGAAAGCACCTGCATAATCAGCACGCAACCAAACGAAACGTTAGATGCAAATCATAAGAATCGCGTATGAATCAGAACCAAAACAAAGAGAGAAGATTACTCTGAGCAGGAAAGCAATGCAATCATCAAACTGCTTCTCAATACGATCGACTTCCATTTCGCATTTGGCCTTAATTGCAGAAACTGTTCCGCCGCTAAGCGTCAGTTGTATAGAATAGAAGTCCAATGCTAATCCCAGGATGTTGTTTATCCTGCTTGCTATGAGAGCCCACTGATGCAAAATAGTGTAATAAACACGATTCAACTTCCTGTCTTCATAAAAGATTATTTCCTAGTTCATAAGTTCTCAAACAAAAGAAAATGCGCACCAGCTTATCTGGAACTACAAAGCACTGCCGCTGAATTGTCAACAAGTACAATTCATGTACTTCTATGACTTCGTCCAGAGATCGAGCGGCTGCCATACCTTCGCATAGTTCACGCCATGCATTATGATATACCTGCTCACAAAGGACTAGTCAGTGATCTAACAATTCCATACTCCATACTCTTTCCGGACAACAAAAATATGATGATGCATAAAAGGCCGAATTCCTCATGAAAATAGTTTCCGTATATATAAAGGGAAAACAAAAAACATAGGGAAAACAACACTTACTCTGTCCATCACATACTGGTGAAAAGCATCGACAAAATGGAGAAGTTTTTGCTCCACTAACCAGTGACGCTTGTGGTTGTTTGTGGCACTGCCTCTACCCTGCATGGGGTAACAAGAAGCATCAAAGCCATTGATTTATAAAGACATACACACATACAACCCTTGTCATTAGGCCAAGGAGACTTATCACTCTCCTAATTAATCCTTAAAGGAGATAAATTATAACCTTCCACATCCACCTTCGAGCTTTATCAAGTACGAATTTTGCTCGCTTAACCTTCAACAAGAACCCCATGACCTACAACAATTTAGAACAATTAGATAACGCGTTTAGTCGTCAGACCACCCAGTTGGTAATCATATCTTCCCTCCAAAGATAAGATCCCAAGTGAAATCAAATCACCTTTCCCCCAAATGCCACATTGATTTGAGAGAGAGAGAGAGAGAGAGAGACGAAATATAGAACCAGAAGCATAAAATAACCTGGTTATATTTCTTGATTGCCTCCGCGTTTGCAATAAGTTCAAGCGGCCAAGAGACCTTATATGTGAAGTTTAGCAGATCAAGTCCATCCATTCCAAAGCTCTGAACACGACTTTTACGAGGAGTTGAGGGAAGGGAAGCCATCTTAGGTTGCTCATTTCCATTTAAGTCGTGATTTTTGGTGAGGGATACAATCAATGAATCAGGAAAACTTAGTAGCACTCCATCAGCAGAGTTTCTTATAGATTCCTGCAGTAATAAGAATAGACATTACAATGTTATAATATAAGTAAAACAGTAAAAGTAGGTACCCCAAAACCGTGTTTAACTCAAAATAGGAAGAAATTCTACATTGGATAAAGTAAGCAAACCTGCAATATCGTGTTTAACTCAAAATCATCATCCCATGTTTCTCCTTTATCCAGCTTATTGAATATTACAGTCAAGAAGTGCTGTAGCAGATCACCTAGAGATGGAAAGGAACCAGCAAACATGTCAAAGTAATCGGAGATGTCTATTAATAGACCAGGATATTTGAAGTTCAACAAACAAGATGATACCTGACCCTAGCAAGAAAATCGCGCGCAAGACTGCTAGTTTATCCATCAATTTCCAGTCATTCATCAGTTTTGACAAAATATGCCTGCCAATACAATCCACCTATGGTAGAAAATAACTTTTTAAAATATGACACTCATGCAACCACAACAACAAACTGATACATATTTTTGAGCAATCACCTGCTTCTGCATGTAGACAGTAAGACATTCCTGCACTATAACCACCGGAAGTGGAGTACTTCTTGGTTCAAAATGTTGAATCCAGGCAAGAACTCTTGATGGAAGGGTGCTATTTTTTTGGAAAGGTAAGAGCTCTGACATATTGAGCTCATCCTGTAGCCAAGGAACTACAATTAAAAATACATCCAAAGAATTCTAATAATATCTAAATCTAGACAAATGCACATAGACTTTCAATCATACCTGAACAGATGGTAGAAGAGTAGGAAAAGGAAACAACGATTGTAACATAAGTGAGTCGTCTTGTGAACGAAGATATTCTGATTCACCAAAGCGGAAACCAAAAGTATAATTTGTTCCTTCAGCCAAAGAAGTTGATCCGCTCTCCACACCGAAAATAGCCTTTCGTAAAGCTTCATCGTTTAAAGGGGGCAGACATAAATTTCTGGATAAGTTCAAGGATTTCCATGCATTCCCATTCTTAGAAAGGATCTTTTGGCAGACTGTTAGAACTGGATTTTCTTGACAGAAGGATCTTGAATGAGGAAACCCATTTACCACACCTGCAAACATTTTCTCTTCATTTGCATCTGTAAATCCTTTTCCATTATCACGTGCAGACTCTGGTTCAGTTACTCTTTTCTCTGCCAGTGTATCAACCAAGAACTTACACCAAATTTTCTCCGAGCATTTTACTGGCACAATCACACTATCATCACTCTCCACTTTTTGTTTAGTGGATATATGTTGAAAGATATGGTCACCATGGCCTATAAGGCCTGCTAACGACACACAGAAAACTTCTGACAAAGTCAAACCTGCAATGCTTTGCCCATGGTAAACACCTTTATTAAAACTTCCAAAACCATCAACCTCAGAGTCATTTCCGTTTCTATATACAACTGAGGATGTCATGGGAATATGCCGGATCAGCTGTAACGATTTTCCAGCAGAAACAATAGACTTAGCTATGTCCTTAATAAACAATGGACATGATTGAAGGTCTTTATTGCCACATTCCTTTCCTTTCATAAAACTTGTCACTGAGGCAGAGGTCGCAACATCTAACATTTGATACTGTACTTGCCTTAATAGATAACTCTTCTCCCAAAAGTCAGCCTCATCAACAGATATTGCTTTATTAGCATAAAAGAACATCTGCAAAGACAGGAGCAACCAGAAAAATGTTCAGAGAGGAGAAATCTAGGACAGCCCACTTCAACTAGAAAACAGATTAATATTAGTATTTACTGCCTATACAAATTGTAAGATAACCTATCATCGACAATACTATAGATAGAAGAATCACATGGTATGCAAAATAAAATAAAATAAAATAAAATTGGATGCATCACCAAGCACATGCAAGTTCGAATCACATTTACCTCCTCATATGGATCATCTAGTGTTCCTTCAAAAAGCCAAGAATCAAGACCCTCAATATACGGCAATATACTTCCAATAAATAAATAAAGAAGCATCTCGTAATCTTCCTCCTGAAATTGGCATGAGTACCAAATTTGGATTACATAAACCAGGTGAAACAAGACAAGAGTACTAAACTAGAAACAATAAAGGTTGTTGAATAAATGAAGTACCAACCTCACCACCTCGCACTAGACACACTTCATCCAGCTTCTTGTAAAGATGGTCAAGGATGTGAACAGCCAAGTAAGCAGCGGGAAGAGACGAATTAGACTCAAAATACACCTGTGGGATGGCACCATGCACTATTTGCAACAGATACTCAGCACCTGAGCAGAGACTAATATCAATAAATTGTCATCAGCGACATCATTGCATGAAGATATCAACACAAAACGTGAATTAAGAAGTTAACGACATGGGCTGAGGCAATGACCTCAAAGGTGAAAAAATGGAGCATAATAAAATTTTCTAATTTTGATGAGCTTTTGAGTGGTGATTGTCTCCAACAAAATGTGAAAAACTATAACTATTGGCATCCCTAACACTGATAGCTAACAGAATACAAACCTAGACAAAGAATTGGCCAATCCCAATAACGTAGGGGTTGTACTAATGCCATCTTCTCTTATCTTCATTTCCTTCTTTAAAGCAATATCGCGCAACCGCTGCCCAATCACAAAGTTAACATGGACTTATAAAAGTAGTAAAATCACGATGACTAGAAAGTAGCAAACTTCATCCAACAAATTGAATCCCAAATATACCTTAAGCCACGCAGAAACAGAACATGCAAAAGCCCTCAAAGTAGGCGGGGGTAATCCAGCAGACTTCTCGATTTTGTTGACTATAATTTCCACCAGTTGTAAGCATGTTGCAGCATGCATAAATTGATGAACAAGGGCGTGAAGACTCGAATAAGAGAGGTGACTGACATGTATCCCACTCTTGACTTGAAAAGAGTTTCCATCTTGGTCCCAATAAAATAGTGAGCTAGAAAAACCTTGCAACATTTGTAACACGCTCCGAACCTTGGAACCGAAATAAGTAAAGGGAAAAATTTACATTCGGTACATTTCATATATCAGTTTTCAGAATTCCTATCTTCCAAATAAACAAGCCCCCTTCTTTCTTATTATAACATTTGATCGAAACTATCGATTTTCTCATCAATCCTATTAACTTATAAGCCAATTATGACACCTCAATTAAGAGACTGTATGGAACTGCACCTGGAGGGAAGTGCTTTCCCAGGATTCAATAACATCCTAACAAAAGCACTTCCACCGAAAGTGTTTATGAGCAGGAGTGCTTCCTAAAATAGCAATTCCAAACGGTCCCTAAATCGTGCATTGGGTAGTAAAACCTAAGAAATTTAACAGCAAGAGATGAGTACCAATTCAAGTTCATTGGTCCTCAAGGAGGTAGCCGGCGTTGCAAAATGTATGCCATCGGAGAAGACGCTGTAAAGCCGATTGATCAGCCCTTGAGAAACTTCAGCATTCCCTGCGTCTGCCGGAAAATCAAAGGACGAAATAAATTCCATGGAAACTACGACAACGATGATATTAGGAGCGGAAAGGAAAAGGGAATCGAATACCGTAGCAAAGAGGCTTCCCCATCGTCGAAATTGGGGCTTCCGGTGGCGAATTAGGGTTCCGGCCGCTAGCAGTGGCTGCTAGATCGGCTGATTGGAGCTGTTGTATCGGTGTTGCTGTAGCAGTAGCATTCCCATTACTCTTTGAGTGAAATTAAACCGATTAATTTCGAAAAGAAAATGAAATAAAAGAAATCTAATTATTTTAAAAGGGAAGCGCGCAATACTTCACCCGTTAACACGTACACCCGCTTTTTCTTCGTGTAACGTGTGATCAGAAATTATTTGGATTTTTTTTAATTTAAAATTAAATACAAATAGTATCCGACGAGAACTGATTGCACGATATGAATCCAGAGAGAATCCTGCCTCTTAAACTTTTAATTCATGTCAATGCTGTTTTTGTCATTATCGTAACTCAATTATTAGAATTTCAAACGTTTTCTAATTTTATTGCGAATATAGCTTTTAATAAGAGAACTTTAACGAAAAACTGTATTATTCACTTCAACAAAAAACCACATTTTTACACTAAAAATTTAATCTTAAGCATTACCAATAGACGTGGGAAACAAAGTTCGAAAATTCCTATTTGGAGAATCAGCATAAATCAGTATTTACAGATAGACTAACTCCCATCACCTGTTCTAACTTCTGAGTGAGTACACACAACAGTTTCTACCTACTCATCTTAACTCCACGTAAAACTCGATTATCTCCCCGATCAAGGACCCGTTGCGCTAGCTCCGAGTTCCCAACTCCACCGGCGATGAATAAAATAACCAGCTTCCAAATCCCACTCAGTTAATTCACTGGTAAAGCTTATGTAACTTCATCAGAGGCAGTCCAAGCAATGAAAATCCTTGTTAGAGCTGTGCAGCCGTATTTCCCAAGAGAAGAGCGTCTTCCAGATGGAACAAGAGAGAAACTTCGGATCCATTTCATCCAATTTCAGAGGTTTGGGATTTTCCCGCTATGGTTCCTTTCAACGCTTATAGCTGGAGACTTTCAATTGAACAAGGGATGCAATTCCGGACAAGGATGAAGAATGAAGCAAAGCCACCTCTAAATTACAAGTGTGGAGAGATCGATATTCGACCATTTTTAAGATTAATATGGTCCTTCGGACCATCCAATTTATCCTGCAATGGTGCACACACAACAAGCCAAGATATCAATTTACTGGTCATATATAAAAAACTTTCAGTCTCTAGTTTCCATTGAATTCTATGAATGTTAAATGTGAAAACTTACTATTAGGTATATCATTGAAAAGGTCTGATGTGTGAATTTCGTACAAACGGATGCTCAAGTAGCTTACTAGCTAATGGTCTCTCTGCAGGGTTCCTACGAAAGCACAAATGAAGGAAGTCCTTTCCTTCTGCAGATAATGTTTCTGGTATATCCGGGATGGTGTTTAGAACCTTGAACATAGCTTGAGGCTGGCAGAAGGAAGACAAGATGATGTTAAAAACTTCAAAAGCAACAAAGCTATTCTCGAACAGCATGAGGCCGGATTTGCATTGTACACATGGAACTATGGGCAGTTGACAATATTCTGGAAAATCCAAAACCATGATGAACAAAACATGACAAGTTTCATCGTGAACTTACTCCTGTAAATTCACTCCACGGAGGTTTTCCATTGAACATCTCAACAATAGTACAACCCAAGCTCCATATATCGACGGCCAAAGCAAGATCAGGAGCAGCACTGTTCTGCATTGCAGCCCTTATCACCTGCATGAAACAAACTAAGCATTTATAATTTATATACAGTGCGTACAGGCCATCTATGAATTTGTAACGATGATGTGATTACCTCAGGAGCCATCCAGTATGGACTGCCCTTCAAAGAAAGATTGTACGATTGCCCATTGAGCTGAATGCAAAAGGTAAAGTTAAATATGAAACCGAGAAGAGTACTGCTGGGAGGCCTTGCAGAGTCACATGAATTGGATTGTTCAAAAATTGATTTGTCAAGTTTATGTCAGGAGCCAAAGCAGAGTAAGGTGTTTACAAAAATTAATTACTCACATGTTTTGCCACCCCAAAATCGGCAAGTTTAACAACGCCTGATGCATCAACAAGCAAATTTGCACCCTTAATATCCCTAGAATAATCATTGAAACATCATCGTCAATAAAGCAAAGAAAGCTACAAGGGAATACAACATGATTCAGCAAATATGCACCCTTTATATCCCCAGAATAATCATCGAAACGTCATCAATAAAGCAAAGAAAGCTCCGAAGGAATGCAACAATGATTCTCCAAACGTTTTTCCCATTTTAACTGGCTGGTAAATATTAAGAATCTCTACAGTTTATATAAATCTCTTTGAAGAAAAACATTTTCCTAAGGTTATTCTTGTCTCATCATTTATTGAGACGTGGCAATTTGTGAAGTAACAAGCTCCTTTTAACAGATAAGTGATGTCACAGTTATATAACTCTGCTACTCAAGCATCACTATCACCTGTGAATTGTCTTTGTTCTGTGCAAAAAAGCCAACCCAGAGAGGATATGGCGAGTAAAATTGCGAACTACAGATTCTGTCATAGCTCCAATATGGTCTTGGACGTATTTATTAATCGATCCAGGATGAACATATTCCAAATATATGTAAAAGTGATCTTCAGTCTGCATATGCATAAACAATGCTCCCCAATTTAGCCAAACTTTCAAATATTTTTAATAAACTTTCACATGTAAGAAAGATACTCACCATTTCACTACCATAATACTGCACAATATTTGGATGCTTTAGTGTGCGGAGGACTTTAATTTCCTGCAACGGGTAGCTAGTAAGAACAGTTCTAGAACATATTAAAGATGAACCAGAAACATAGAAGGCTACCACAAAATGTCAGTAGCATAGTTGAGCGTAGCTGAAATGTCATTTGATCGAATGTGAAGAGATGCACTCAACAATACTGTTCATTGTGCAGGTGTGGCACATGAGGAGATGTACTATGAAGGCTTTTTACCTTCCATCTTACAGAAATAATCAACCAACTCATTTTTTTCCTATGATTGAAGCAGCCACAGTGCTAGTGCATGTTACATGCAAAACTTTCCCTAATTCGGCAGTTTTGGTTGGTCCAGACAAACCTAAAGGTAGACAGCAATAAGCTACAACTGCTCTATGAATTGAAATTAGTAAAGGACTCCAGAAAAAGGACCTGCTCCAACTGCTTTATACATTCAGCAGCTTTAGGATCATCAGGAATGAGGTCAACTTCCTTCATTGCACACAAGGCCCCGGTTTCTCTGTCATATAATTAGAAAATTTTAACAAAGCTAAATTCAAAAGAACAAAACAAAATAATGGTCATTGCAGAACAAAGTCAAGAGAAAGTAGCACAAAGCTTCCGGGGACTAGCATACCGGTTGGTTGCGAGATACACACTACCAAAGGTGCCGCGCCCAATAAGTTTTCCCTTCTGCCATTGACCTTTCATTGATGATAACAATAGAGCCTCTGCATTGTGGTGCATAACAGATTGCTGTGGTGGAGGTGGCAGAGGCAAAGGGTGGGCACTGACTTGACCACTACTTTCAACCCTCTCTAAAGAAGGCAAAAGAAATGCATTTCCATTTGAACTTTTCTGGTTGAAGCGTGGACTTCGAGATGTAGGAGAATGGCTGGGACTATTAGAAGGTTTATTTGGTGATAATCTTGGAGGAAAGACATCCAGATTTTGATCGTGGGGAGCCCCAGAAGAAGTAAAAAAACCCCCAGCGGTGTTTGATCTCCTGGGGCTAACTGCAGGACTTGAAAAAGCACTTGTTGGAGCACTCCTGCTCATGTTGCAACTTTCATATTCGTGTGGCGTTCCCCTATGGCAGTTGCTTGAACAATTAACGGGTGAAGTGGGAGCAACAAGTATAGGATAACAATCGACAGTTTTCGATCTTTGGTTGCTAAAAGGATGACTTGATATACCATTTGCCTGCGCTTTCCTAGAAAGAATATTCAGAGCCAAGTTATTAAGGAAACCCCTACCATTGTTAGCATCTTGGGAGAGTGCCCCTCGACGATTGTTTGAATAAGAACGCACTGGTGCTGATGATCCTCCTGAGGTTGTGGCAACTTGACTAGAATAAGAACTCAGCGAACCGCCACCATTGTTAGCATCTTGGAGGAGTGCCCCTCGACGATTGTTTGAATAAAAACTCACTGCTGCTGCTGATCCTCCTGAGGTTGTGGCAACTTGACTCGAATAAGAACTCGGCGATGCCGATCCTGAGCTTGTGACAGCTTTACCTTTGACCTTCCTAGTAGTTCAAACAGTAAAAAACCACCCCAGCGCGGCATTTTAACAAACACATGGTAAGCACTTTATCAGATACCCACAAACAAAAAATTAATGAATTCTAAGGGCTTTCTTTTACCTGGGGCCAAGGAACCCATTTTGAGCATATTCAGGTTTCCGGATCACGGGAGATTCAGGAAGGGGCAAGGGCTGCGGAGCCGGCGCAGAAGACCAGTGGTTTGGCTTGGACCCGTGACCCGGCGATCTTGACTTTTGAGTCGAATATTCCGGCGAAGCGGGCGAGGAGTAAGACTTATCAGGGACGTAGAAATCCTCGTTGTTGATGTGGCGGAGCTTTCTTTGCCGGGTGAGCCGCCGCGGGCTCTGCTCGCAGCTTCCCCCACCACCACCACTGTCCTGTTTCGGAGCAGAAACAGAGCAAGCAGCAGCTGAAGAAAAAACAGGGGAGGAGGAGGAGGTTGTAGCTCTGCAGGTTTTGTGATGAGAAAACGAAGTAGAAGGCATTTGGGCTTTCGAGAAAAGCACTTGTTGCAGAAGGCGAAGTTAAAAGCCGTCGTCTTGAACTTGAAGTATCTCAGAATCTCAGATTTCCAAATGTGAAGTTGCGGAAGCGGAAGCAGCTGCGTCGTTTCTCGCTCGCTTTGATCAAAAAATTTCGTTTGAATTAAAATTCAAACGTTTGGAATTTTTTATGGTCAATGACAGGGAAAAAACAAGTACTCGATATAATCCTGCGAATTGAATACATAATAATCTGATTAGGAGATGACTAAATGCGAGACTTTTGAGGCTGTCGTCGGTGGTGTTGGAGGGGTCGGGGAGTCCGATAAGAAGAAGACGACGACCCAACGAATGATGTGCGTGCGTGTTTACAGTGTCCAAGCACGCGACGACCTTCTCGTTTTCCCTTTTTTTATTTAATTTAATCTAAAATTTAATTTAATTTAATTAAGATTAATTAAATTTGAAAAGTACTAATATTGTTATCATTCGTTCCTGTTTTTGAAGGTAAATGTTTTTTAAGGAATGAGGACGAAGAAAGTTGAAGTTGAAGATGTTGACCAAAGCTAAGATACGCCGTATGCGTACGGAAAGGCGTAGTTGAGTTGAGTTTGAGGAGCTGAGTAGAGGAGGACTTTGTCAATGTATTTGTCAAAAACGACTTCAATTTGATCTTTTTGCAGTCCAGCTCATACCGTGTTAGGGTGTTTACTGGGTTCTCCTTTGAAGTTTTTACTTTTTGTGGAAACAGCCAAACTCATGTAGGAGAACAATTTATATAATACGGGATTCGTAGTGATTTATTCGTGTCATGCTGGCTATTTGCCGCTTTCTTACTCGTAAATGAGTGAATCTTCTAATTATTGAGAGTAATTTAGAACGTTGTCTTGTCTAAGACAATTTTTATGTGGTTCTGTGTTTTGAAATTTAAGTTGTGAGTTTGACTGCTTTAATGAGTTTTTGTCTTTAATTGTAAGAAAATTTGTTACGTGTTTCTGAGGAAAGTAAAAAATTTGTACTGAAGGGCAAGTTAATATAGCTTCTTTAAAGTGATATATGCTCCCGTTCTAATTATAAAACTCAAATTAAAGTGGAAAAAAAATATCACTTAAAGATAAACAAGCCTCAAAATTATTTTTTTTTCTGTCAAATCAGTGTCTGTTTTATCAAAATATTTTTTTTTTTGTGAATTTTTGAATAACCCTATGCTTTAAATGTTGGTCGAATCACCATTATGTAAGTCTCACATATATTCTCTTTTCGATAGGAAATAGACATTTAAGAAGAAAAATCACATAAGGCAAGCAAAGTTAAAAAAATCTCAAGCAGACCGCGCCTAAAACAGTAGGAATTTGCGACAAAGGCAGGTTGTCCTTTTCTCATAATCTTGACTTTACCTTTTAGAGAAATTTTTTCACTAAGCACTTAAAATTTGTATAGAAAAAGTCCAATGTCGTGCCTGTAAAATAGGAGAGATTTTTCAGTATGATCAGCACACGAGGTGGTACACCATGTATCATTATACAAATGGTGGGATATGTGTGTTAAAAAATTTATAACTTAAAAAAATAAAATTTTCTACCACTTACATAAAAACATATAATGTAGCACTCGTGTTTCCGTTGTAATAAAAAATTTCTCGTAAAATAGCTTAATGATGAGTACAATTGCTTGAAGCATCGTGAGAATTGCCAATAGGTTTAGTGTTGGAGTACCAAAACCTCATCGTCGTCAACCCGACCACGCAACACGCACCCCACCAAGGCAACTGAGGCAAACAACGGTGCATGACTTTATATACATTGATGCGATTCCGTGTCAAATTTTGGATTTGAATGCCAAGTAGATAAAATAGCCTCCTCCTCACTCTCTGTCGCTCTTAATCATAATATTGCTGGTCACTTGGTAGTCATCCTGCTGTGCTGTCGCGTCGGCTTGGATTTGCTTATCATCCCCACCTAAAAAGGAGATTTTTACGGAATTCCTGCATATAAAATTTAGCATAATTTTGTACAGATATCGAGAAGAAGTGAGAAACAAGCTCAATTTCATTTGATTAAATAGTTTGAACAAACTTTAAAAGTTTACGCTTAACATTTTAACATACTAATGCTATCACTTGTAAAAAAAAATAATTTATTTTCTTCGTTCACATATTCTTAGGAGTTGTTACTTATGCATGCCAAACTTTAATAATTCGTGTTATAGTACTAAAATTCATTTTTTTAATTCCTTCAAATTTCTTTTAGTTTTCTTGCATCTGATATTTGATGTATAAATGGATTGGACCAAAAGTTCACATTGGAGTAGCTAGAATAGTTATTAAATTTGTTATTCACGATATTCAAACTTAAAATCTCTTATTTATAAGTGAAAAAAAAATAATACCATTCGACAATAATACTAAATGATAGCAATAATAGATCAAGTTTTAAATACAATTTTTGTTAATCATATTCACACTGGGTTATCTTTGCTGCTGTATTTAAAACTTGTATTTGAATACAAGTTTTAAACAAATACAATTTAAATACAAGTTTGCCTTTGTTTGGGTATCTTTGTGTAATTTTAGGATACTTCTTTCCGTTTGGATTCCAACAATAACAAATGATTTGGGTTCTAGGGGACCAAGATGTATGGCCATTACGATCCAACATTGGCCATCCGTACCCCAATATGAAAAATCATTTCATTTTGATCCAAGTTATATGGGCCGTTAGAACAATTTGCCTTTCCTTTTGCACTCAATTTCAGAAAAAATAAAAACGTATTTTTTTCATTTACACTATGTTTGGATGAAAAATTTAAGATTACTAAGAAATTTTAAAATGATGGAAATTGAACCGATGAGATTTTATTTTCTAGAATTTGCGAATTTTCTTGTTTGGTAAACATAAAAGAACAATGGAATTGAATACGAAAATTGTTATTTTGAAACTCTCATTTATAGAAATTGGGAAATGACACCTATTTGCATGGAATTTAAACTTGGGAATTAGAGGTCCCAAATTCCAAGTTTTTTTTTTCCACTCGGAAATTCTAAATTTCTATGTTTATGTATCCCAACAAGGGAATTGGTGCATATTAATTTATAAATTCGAATTTTTACTCAAATTCCAAGTTTATTTGCCGTATCCAAACATAGTTAGGAATATCGCTCAAACCAAAAAGAGTATTAATAAAAATAAAATTAAACAATTAAATAATAAAAGTATTGAGATATCGGCCAACACCAGTATTCATTATAATAATGATTAAACTAATAAAAAACATTAATAATTAATTTTGACAGCAATTTTCTTGCTGTCAATTTATGTCATTGCCACATTAGAATTGACATTTTGGTTGGAGAACATTAGTGTGGGTTTTTTTTTTTTACTGTTATAACTTATGTAGACATTTTGACATCTCCTTTAGAGATGCTCTTAGGCAAGCGAATAGTGAAACTGGATGACTTAGTTTCCATTAGAATTTCCGTTCAAAAAATCCCCATTTTTCTATTGATTTAATTGTACAACTAAAATCAAGGGTTTTGTACATGTACAAATGGATGTTCAAGTAGCTCGGCAGCCGATGGTCTCTTGGCAGGGTCCCTCCGAAAGCACCAATGGAGGAAGTCCTTTCCTTCTGCAGACAATGTTTCTGGAATATCTGGGATTCTGTTCAGCATCTTGAACATAACTTGAGGCTGACAGATTCAAGACAAGAAGATGTTAAAAACGAATAAACATGATCTGACTCACAGAGACTCCTCTTCCGTCTAGTCATCCTGTACGCGCATAGATTGGCTGCATATTTATTGCGTACAGGATGACTAGAGAGATCATCGTATTACAACATCCTAGAAATCATTTTATCATTTACTTACTCCTGTACATTCACTCCAAGGAGGTTTTCCAGTGAACATCTCAATGATGGTACAACCCAAGCTCCATATATCAACGGCCAAAGATAAATCAGGATCCGCGTTGTTCTGCATTGCAGTCCTTATGACCTGCACGAAAACAAACGAGGCGTCTGTAATCTATATGCGATGTACATGCCATCTGAAATGTATAGATAAAGATAGTGCAATTACCTCAGGAGCCATCCAGTTCAGACTGCCCTTCAACGAAACTTTATCTGATTGCCTGTTGAGCTGAATTGCATCAAACAAGTTGATTATTCAAAAATAATTTCTTCAAGAAATTATGTTTACAGATATTAAACATGATATGCGTTTGCTGAATTAATTACTTACGTGTTTTGCAATCCCAAAATTGACAATTTTAACAACTCCTGATGCATCAAGACGCAAATTTGCACCCCTTATATCCCTAGAACAATCACCGAATCGGAACTTCATTCAGTAAAGAAAAGTATGCTTATGATCAAGCAAGAATGCAACATGATGCTAATTAAATAGCACTGTATGAAGTAGGAAGCATTATTCTCACCTGTGAATTATCTTCGTGCCATGCAGAAAGGCCAGCCCGGAGAGGATGTGGCGAGTGAAATTGCGAACTACAGATTCCGTCATAGCTCCAATATGGTCTTGGACATATTTATCAATGGCTCCGGGCCGAATATAAACGTACTCCAGATATGTGCAGAAGTGATTATCAATCTGCATTTGGGTAAAGAATACTCCCCAAGTTGAGTAAAACTGGCACAGATTAGTTTTCAGTAAATGTTCACATGTCAGAAAGATACTCACTACTTCGCTACCATAATACTGCACAATATTCGGATGCTTCAGCGTACGGAGGATTTTAATTTCCTGCAAAATATTCGGTTGGTCCAGATAAACCTAAACTGAAGGCATATTACAAATAACTGCAACTCCCATGTGAATTTACAAAAAAAAATAAATAAATAAATAAAGGACTCCAGAAATGGACCTGCTCCAATTGCTTTACACATTCTGCAGATTTAGGATCGTCAGGAATGAGATCAACTTCCTTCATTGCGCACAATGCCCCGGTCTCTCTGTCATATGACTATAAATTGTTAACATGTTCAAAACAAACTGTCAAACTGTCAAATTGTCAATGCAGAACAAAGCTCATAGAGATTAAAATACCGGTTGGTTGCGAGATAAACACTGCCTAAGGTACCCCTGCCAATAAGTTTTCCCTTCTTCCATTGTCCTTTAATAGATGATACTGGTAAAATTTCGGCATTGTTATGCATGATAGATGACTGTGGTGGAGGAGGCAGAGGCAAAGGGTGAGCATTGACGCGACGACTACTTTCAACCCTCTCAGAACAACTCTCTGTGACTGCAGTTCCATTTGAACCTTTGGGTTGAAGCGTTGGCTTCGAGA